CATTTCCTTAGTTTTGAGTTTCATGAGCTGTAGCATAGTGTAACGTGAGAGCCAATCGCGACATGGCGGGAGGCTGCAAGACATCTAATTGGCTAATTGACAACGCAAACCACGCCCATTCTCTATATGTATATGTCCGGACAAGCACATTTATTACAGAAGTGAAACACAAAACCCTCCGAATGCTGCCTTTGCTTTTCAAGAACATCACACGAAAGAGGTGAAAGGGAAGGTGGAAAGGGAAGGGGGGGGGGAGATAAAGGCTGAATGAAAACATGTTTACAGAGGAGTTTGTATTTCCAGTGACAGCTCATATCATTCTTCAGTCAAACAAACAAGAAAATTACCCGCATATGCAGGCCTACCTCGAGCTTCCACAAATTGAAAATTATTTTGTTGACTTTTTTCAATGTAAAATTACAACTATAGAGAGTAGAGCACGTTGTCCGTACTAGCAACTTCCCGTTACTCTCCATTTTCTAGGTGAATGACAATAATCTGAGAAGCATCGCTGTAGGTATGACAAAAGTAATTCCAAAATTAGCGGACGCACAAGGCATTGGTTGGTTTTCATTTCTGCAAAGGACTTTTTAAGACGCATTTCAATCCAACTCTTCATAGTTCTCGTCATAACGGACTCAATGGCTATGAAAATGCTCAGAGATTTGTCGACAAATTATGATCCTGGCGATCGCACTGAAAAGGTTAGCAGGGATAAATTTTTCTTATTTTTTTAATCTTAAATCGACATTTGTGCAGTGGTTCTGATCATGGATAATCTGATCAAGGTAATCTAATTGTAATTTAGGATCTCCGTTTTAGTGCAGTTCATGGATATCCTGCAATGTCGTCAATCGTCCTGAATGTGCGTCAATCGCATAACGGCAAGGTACAAAACTTTTTCTGCTTTTTTTATTCCTGGGAGTTTTTGTTGGAAAAGGGCGTGGCTTCCTAAGTTTGGTTTCACCATTTTTCGGAAAACAGGTTAAATTTTTTTTCAAGCTCTGAACCG